GGGGATGCATTGTTGAAGCATTATGTAAGTTGAGTTCCATCTTATAGACATATCTAACGCTAATGCTCTAGGAGGTATATTTAATGCTTGTAAGAACCTAAACTAATCTTCTTGTCTTTGGTTACTACGTACCTTGAATCCATATTTCCACTATGTTTTAGAGTCACTTCATGAAACCTACCTAAAAATTGATACAAAACTTTGGCAATTTGCCAATCATATGCATCTATGTGTCCTACTCCTACTTTTGCACACATATAGTTTGTTATAGCATCCTTATAGGGGATGCATTGTTGAAGCATTATGTAAGTTGAGTTCCATCTTATAGACATATCTAACGCTAATGCTCTAGGAGGTATATTTAATGCTTGTAAGAACCTAAACTAATCTTCTTGTCTTTGGTTACTACGTACCTTGAATCCATATAAGACTATCTCTAATTTTTTTAATGTGATTACCCATTTCTTTTAAACCGGATTTAACAATTAAATTAATTACGTGACATGCACAACGTTGGTAGAAAATAGTACCGTCACCGAATAAACTTAAATCATTTTTAAAGAACTCAATTGCTTTTGTATTGGCACTAGCATTATCTAATGTTGTAGCCATTACTTTATCTCTTAATTTAAATTCATCAATTACAGCTAAATAATCTTTATTGGCAACGACATACCAAATATCTGCCATTAAGCAAGGCACCCGCTAGTCGAGTGTAAAAGGTTTATTAATGCTTCTTTTTCTTTTTTAAATAATTTTAATAAATCTTTTCTAAGAGTAGTTTTTGAAGTGAACTGTGCATTAAGATTATGTACAATCTTAATATATCGTTGCCAATTAGGATGCTCTACAAAACTAAGTGGTTGATCTAAAGCAGCTATCATTCGTGGAACTTCCATACGATCTATTTGTGGATCGTATTTCTAAGTGGTTAGACCACCGGTTGCGTGATCAAAAGATAATTGTGTTTGGTAGAGTTCGGGTCCGCCGGATTGGCTAAGCTTTTGAAGACACTTTTCGGAGTGTCTTCTCAAGTGTGTGGTGCCGTGAATAGTTTTACCTTGTAATTTAGATAAAAAATATTTACATTGAGCTATATATTTAGTGTTACCTTCATTGTCGATCTGCTCGATTATGTTGAAGTGATCCCAAACTGTCGAGGTGCGCTTGCATTTCCTTTTAGAGGTTGCAACACTTGCAGATGCAGTCGCACTGGCACTCGCCATCGCCGCTTCTCCACGCCCACCACCATTGCGACCACGACCTCCAGTACATCCAGCAGGGCTCGGATTAGTAGATTCCTGTGTAACAAATTCATTAGTGGGAAATTGTCCTTCTTCCACGTTGTATTGGGTATCAACGGGAATACCACTATAACTAAAAGGATCCATTATAAGATATGAAATGCGATTTGAGGGAGAGAGAGCTTTAGGATAATGTGATAGTTTTTAGAAAAATTGTGATAGAGATTTGAGAGATTGAGAGAGATTGAGAGAAATTGAGAGAGATTGAGAGAAATTAAAAGGGATTGAGAAAGTTTGAGTGAGAAAAATGTGTGGGGGATGAGGGGTATTTATAGGGAAATTTTTGGGTTAAAAAATTGATTTTTTTTTTCAAAAAATTCGGGGTACAACCGCTAGTTTAGGGTTCGGCAGGTTCGGGCAAAAAACTAGCCGTTGGACGGGTTTTCGGGCATTCGGGCAAAATTTGGGTTTTTGGACAAAATTCGGGTCGGGCACCAACGGTCGGAATTTTGACCGTTTTTCACGATTTTTGTTGGTAACCGAATCGAATTCGGATGCGGAAGCATGGCGGGGAGGCGGATCATGTATAACAAAAAATTTCATAAAACTTTTGAGATACTCTATAGATTATATTAATTTATGCACGAATAAATTAATCACATTAATTTATATGTATCAAGAACTCAATCAGGAAAAATACCTGGAAGCCGACTCAGGAAAAATACCTGGAAGCCGACTCGGATGATAACTTGAGTTCTTTGTCCACGAACAGTCCTTACTCCAAGCTTTGTGTTTAGAAAACCAAAGTCTTCCACGTCGATTCCTTGATTCCACGTAGACGTGTGTGTGGGCACACGTGAGACAAAACAGGTTTCAATAACACTCGAATTTCCACAAACACCAACGCATGCACGATGTGGAATTTTTGGGAGAAAAAAAAATTTCCTCTCTTTTCTTTGAGAAAATTCGGCCACCAACTAATTAGGGCAGAAAAATTGTTTCAAAAAATTGTCTTCACAATTTTCTACCATTCTCATATTTAAAGAGTAGAAGTCAAACTTCAAAACAGACTCAAATCTCTATCTCCTATTTGAATTTAGAACAACAAAATCTCCTCTCCTTTATCTCTTAAGTGGCCAGCCACCCCTAGGGTTTTCTAACCCTGTGTGTGGCGCCAAAT